CTTAATTTTACGCATTTCAACAAATTCCTTAGGATTGACACAACTTACACAAATGTTATTACAGAAATATGTCGACACAAATAAAACAAAAAAATAGTTTGCTTATTTTTTTTTTTTTTCTCTTCAAACATCTTTCTTTTTACATGTTTTTTTTTTTACAAAAGACATCACAAAACACAACTTGCATACACTCTTGCTCTCGTTCTATGGATATCTAAGGAGAATTTTCAACTTCCCATCCGAGATGTGCGTTACACTTTGTGACCGTAACGGTCTGGGGTTGGAACAAATGATTCGAAATTGGTTAATACACATCTCGGGCGGCAATCGAATTAGGTACAAGTTAAAGGTGCAAATATGGATAAATACACAAGACTTGGTAAATAAGCTATGGTATCATTAAGTTTGAAAAGGGTCTCCATTTTAAGAAAAAGGTATTTTGTTTCCCTTTACACGTTGCGATATATTTTTCCACTTTATAATTGTACATTATATCTCTCTTTACACTTTCTATAAAAAAGTGTATCACCTTTCATACGTTGTTTGTAAATATAATGTTTAACAATAAGCATATTGAGCTTCTGCACATAATATGTTTTACCTTTTTCCCAAATGTAATATTTTGTTTTGCAAAATTAATGTAAACAGAAGTTTTTGAGAATATCCAGTTTTCAAGAAGTTGCCAAAGCTTCTCGACATGTTCACATTAAAAAATATGTGTAGTAAAGTTTCTTCAGATTGTTTGCAGGATGTGCAAAGTGGGTTATTTTTTATTTAAATTTTTTGTAAGAAAAATGTTAGTTGCGAGTTCCTATATATAATTCTATATTGAAACCACTGCAGAGTCACATCTGTTTTTATTTTGAAAACTATAATAATTTTATTAAATCAGTAATGTCGTCAACACCTGGCACAATAGACCATTTGTCAATATAGTTATTGGTGCATTTAATTTTGGAAATAAAAATATCATAAATGTCTCTGCTTCCTTTTTTGCTTTTATTTATTAATTCTATGGTGATTAGAATAAATGATTGTTGCAAATCAGCCGAGGCATTGTTTAAAGTACATGTCAGCCATAAACCATCTTTGATAGAAAACTGTGGTGTTATCTACCTTTATCTGAGTATTGAACCATAATGGTAGTTTCAGCAGGTCAGTGGGTTTAATATCAAGTTTTATGATGTACTAAAAACTTCAATCCAAAATGTTTCTTTTTATATCTTTGTGATAGTACAATGTTATAGTTTTCACCGAAAGTTGTCAACTTGTTGACATTTGTGTTAAAAACGTCTAACAATAATGTTTTCCAGGTAGCGTCAGAATTGAGAATTCTCCGTATCCAGGTTAATTTTAATGCTTTATTAAAGGATACGTCATGTGCGTCATTCTACAGCCACCATCCTTATCATCTTGTATAATCTTATTTCTAGCTATTCTATCTCTTGTATTCCAGATAAAATTGAAAAAGTCATTTTCTAATTCTTTAGTAAGTTTGTCTTCTGGTTTAGGTAAGCGCATAAATAAATGAGTCAATTTTGGAATTAAAAGAGAATTGAATACCGTAATCTTACCGAGGACAGTCAGTCTTCTTTTATACCAATGTTTTAGTGTATTACTGATATCACTAAGTTTGGCTTTACAATTTAATTTTAGTTTTAAGTTAAATAGGATGCCCAGTACCGTGAACGGTTCGTTGGTCTACTCAAGGTTCCACTCATTATATAATCTATTTGTGGCATTTTTCCTTGAACCTATCCAGACTGCCTTATTTTATTTTTTCAAAATTCGGTGTCAAGCCGGAATACTGGTCAAGGAGATCAAGAGTTTCCTTGAGAGATTTTTCCATACCATTCAAAAATATACCAGTATCGTCAGCATACTGAAAGAGTTTATACTCTTTGTTAACAATTGTAATACCTTTAATTTCTTGATTAGACCTTATAAGGATACCCATTATTTCTTCAAACAGGAAAAAATATACGGCGAGATGGGATCGCCTTGACGGCAGCCCCGTCCTATATTAAAAAATGTTGGAAAAACCCATTTTGAAATACACATACTTTAGCCTCGTTATACAAAACACTTATCCATTTAATCAATTCAGGACCAAACTTAAAAAACTCTAGAGCATTATACATAAATTCCCAGGACACCGAATCTAATGCCTTCCCGAAATCGATCAGTAATAGAATACCTGGTGTGTGATATTTTTTTCGGTATAATACAAGATGTCATAAAGTAGTCGGGTATTTTCCCCTATATATCTACCAGATAGGAACCCCTTCTGATTTTCGTGAATCAGATTATCAAGAATGTTTTTATTCTATTTGACAAGCATGTAGATAGGATTGTGTAAGAGACATTAAGGAGGGATATGGGTCTCCAGTTCTTTTTGGCAACATGGAGATTATTCCTAATTTTTTTTAAAAGAAAGTTCTCCAGTTTCAAGACCTTAGTTTAGAGACCTTATCAACAGGATACCTATATCCGACCAGAAGAATTAAAAAAATAGCGGGAAAATCCGTCAGAACCTTGAGAATTGTTTTAGTGATTTAACTGTGGATAGAGCCTCGGTATATGTAATGTTCTCTTTTAGCATATCAGCTTCTTACATATTTAACTTTATCTAGGTTACCAAGAAATTCATCTAATTTAACATTTATTAAAAGTTCATCCTTACTACTGTAAAGAGTTTGATAGAAATGTTTAAATCATTTGCTTAAATATTTGCGTTCCATCGGAAGTCTCTGCCTGGCTGTTTTACAGAATTGCTACGTCCAGACAAGCAGTGTATTATTAAACTAGCTCCGATTCTGTTTCTCAAGCGTGACATGTTTATTGCAAACGAGGGATTACTATAACGATACGTCTTTGTATTGGATCAATATATTGGTAAAAGACCGGCGACAAATCTATGATGCACTGTAAGGGCCACAAACATATATCTATTAGAACTGATTAAACGGCCGAGAAGGTCAATCAAATTGACATATTTAAATCACACCTTTTTTTACGTTTTGGAGGCTAAATAGTTTCTTACTTATTGCAGAAACAACCAAGTTAAATATTTCAGGTGCTTGGCTTTTAACACTGCCCATTACCCAGAACGAACAGAGAACTGAATTGAAGATATGTAAGTCAAATCGGACGAGAAAAAGGAAAACTCATGAAAGATTCAATTTTTTTCTGCAGGGATGAAAACAAATAGCTCGATGATATAAGATGTAGATCTCTTGTGATACACACAGCCATGACCATATACTTATATGTTTATATTAAATGACTATCAACAGTCATTCCGTAACTATACAAATTAAATACCTTACGGGATACATGACTACTGACAGTCTGATACAATAATATTGGTGTAAAGCTTTCATTGGATGGTAACACGTATCAGGATATGTTTGCAGATTGTTGTTCTGCAATTATTTTCTACAAAAAATAAAGTTATTTATAACTTAAATTATTTTCTGGATTCTCCACAGTCTGAAGTTACTCACATTTCCTTGCCTTTTGTAATTGTTACTGTATTTTTGAGTACTTGTATATCCTTATTATTTCATGCCACAGTCTTGTTATATCACTTTAATTGTTTCAAATTAAGCATTGTCGAGGTTCGCCGTAAATGGATGAATTATGAGAATTAATAACATCATTGTTGATTAGAAATTAATATTTATAATTCAGTTAAAAATTCTGCGATGACTTCAAAAAAAACCCAGAAACAAACAAAAAACGACAACAAAATTACATTTTATGGCTTTTTCATCATCTCTAATTATTGCTGTGTGGCTTGTTTTATTGAAAATTTGAAACGTAAATCCTTGTGTAATTGTGACAGCTTCAGACCGCTGTCAATCACAGTGTTAATTTTTTTTAAATAATAAATTAATGTTAACATTTTCTTTAATACACTTACTTTGTTATAAGTGTTTTTTAATAAAGAAGTTAATACATTTTTAATACCATGGATTTGGTCTTTTTTATTGTGGGGAATAGTTTTCCCTTACCAACAATACAAACTTTAAAGTGATATGTCAAATAGGGTATATTTTAAGGTTGGCCTTAAAGTCGATGTCAGAATTACCCTTAATCTTTGACCGATCACAGAGTCAAGCTTGCTAATCCATTGGCTATTCTCATAGAGTGATCTATAAAAAACACATCACATACTGTCTTGTTATTTTGTAGCAGGTTTATTTTAACCCATATACATTAAATATCGTTATGCCCTAGGTCTGCTATGCTGATAAAGGAAATACAATCCTTTTGGTGTACATGTACAACAAAATCCGCCACTACCTTTATTGCGTCTCTCTAGCTCCTATACGTGCAAGTTATTATATCAGCGACTCGGTTTTCTTTGATATTAAGCTCTAAAAATTGAACAGTGATCTATTTTTTTATTACCCTTATAAAAAGATGAAGTAAAATTGCTAGAGCATGAGCATTTTTATTTTTGTAACATTTCCATATTTTTTCTCTCACTTTTTATACTTAAGAGTTCCAGAGTTGACAGCTATCATGAACGATAGTGGATGGTCCTGAAATCTTTGGGATTGTTTGTGGCGATACATTGCCGTCTTGTCTTGGGATTGTTTGTGGTGATACCTTGCCGTGTTCCTTTGAGACTGTTTGTGGTGATGCCTTGTCGTGTTCCTTTGGGATTGTTTGCGGTGATACCTTGCCGTGTTCCTTAGTGACTGTTTATGGCGGTACATTGCCGTGTTGTTTTGGGATTGTTTGTGGTGATACCTTGCCGTGTTCTTTTGGAATGTTTGTGGTGATACCTTGCCGTGTTCCTTAGGGATTGTTATTGGTGATACCTTGCCGTGTTCCTTTGCGATTGTTTGTGGTGATACCTTGCCGTGTGTCTTTGGGATTGTTTTTGGTGATACCTTGCCGTGTTCCTTAGGGATTGTTTGTGGTGATACCTTGCCGTGTGTCTTTGGGATTATTTGTGGTGATACCTTGCCGTGTTCCTTAGGGATTGTTTATGGTGATACATTGCCGTGTGGCTTTGGGGTTGTTTTTGGTGATACCTTGCCGTGTTCCTTAGGGATTGTTATTGGTGATACCTTGCCGTGTTCCTTTGCGATTGTTTGTGGTGATACCTTGCCGTGTGTCTTTGGGATTGTTTGTGGTGACACCTTGCCGTGTTCCTTAGGGACTGTTTGTGATGATACCTTCCCGTGTTCCTTAGGGACTGTTTGTGGTGATACCTTGTCGTGTTCCTTAGGGACTGTTTGTGGTGATACCTTGCCATGTGTCTTTGTGATTGTTTGTGGTGATACCCTGCCGTGTTCCTTAGGGATTGTTTGTGGTGATACCTTGTCGTGTTCCTTAGGGACTGTTTGTGGTGATACCTCGCCATGTGTCTTTGGGATTGTTTGTGGTGATACCCTGCCGGCTTCCTTAGGGATTGTTTGTGGTGATACCTTGCCCTGTTCCTTAGGGATTGTTTGTGGTGATACCTTGCCGTGTGTCTTTGGGATTGTTTGTGGTGACACCTTGCCGTGTTCCTTAGGGACTGTTTGTGATGATACCTTGCCGTGTTCCTTAGGGACTGTTTGTGGTGATTCCTTGCCATGTGTCTTTGGGATTGTTTGTGGTGATACCCTGCCGGCTTCCTTAGGGATTGTTTGTGGTGATACCTTGCCCTGTTCCTTAGGGATTGTTTGTGGTGATACCTTGTCGTGTTCCTTAGGGACTGTTTGTGGTGATACCTTGCCGTGTTCCTTAGGGATTGTTATTGGTGATTCCTTGCCGTGTTCCTTTGCGATTGTTTGTGGTGATCCCTTGCCGTGTGTCTTTGGGATTGTTTTTGGTGATACCTTGCCGTGTTCCTTAGGGATTGTTTATGGTGATACATTGCCGTGTGTCTTTGGGATTGTTTGTGGTGATACCTTGCCGTGTTCCTTAGGGATTGTTTGCGGTGATACCTTGCCGTGTTCCTTAGGGACTGTTTGTGGCGATACCTTGCCGTGTTCCTTAGGGACTGTTTGTGGTGATACCTTGCCATGTGTCTTTGGGATTGTTTGTGGTGATACCCTGCCGTGTTCCTTAGGGATTGTTTGTGGTGATACCTTGCCGTGTTCCTTAGGGACTGTTTGTGGTGATACCTCGCCATGTGTCTTTGGGATTGTTTGTGGTGATCCCCTGCCGTGTTCCTTAGGGATTGTTTGTGGTGATACCTTGTCGTGTTTCTTAGGGACTGTTTGTGGTGATACCTTGCCGTGTTCCTTAGGGACTGTCTGTGGTGATACCTTGCCGTGTTCCTTTGGGACTGTTTGTGGTGATACATTGCCGTGTTCCTTAGGGAATGTTTGTGGTGATACCTTGCCCTTGTCCTTAGGGAATGTTTGTGGTGATACCTTGCCGTGTTCCTTAGGGACTGTTTGTGGTGATACATTGTCGTGTTCCTTTGGGATTGTCTGTGGTGATACCTTGCCGTGTTTCTTTGGGGTTGTTTGTGGTGCTACCTTGCCGTGATTCTTTATGAATATTTGTGGTGATACCTTGCCGATTTCTGCGGGAATGTATGTGGCGATACCTTGCTTTGTTCTTTTAAAAGCTTCGGTTTTGTATTTTTACCCGATTAATACAATGACCACTAAGGAATGCAGATAACTGTTTTCTGCCTTATTTTAACAGTAATACGTCATGAAAACGTTTCTTATTGGCTTCTTATCTTAGCTTCAGAACCTGAATTTAACGATACCAAGGAGTCTTCCACCGCATGAGTTTCATTTATTTACATCTGCATTGTAATAAAGATGACGGCACTTTTTTATTTTATTTCTTATTTTACAAAAGTAAACTTTCCTTTCTTTACTAGTAATAGTAACACATATGTGGAATGTATGTGACATTCGTTGATTAATTTTCCTGGTCCTTGGTTTCAGTATCATTACCTGTTTTTCCTTTTGAATATCATGACTTTCGTGATAGATGTCGACTGCTGACGGAGAAACATTCAACACGGGGTTTCCACTGATGCAGATTGGTGACGACTATGGACGCATTATAATGTCGCCATCAGAATCTTGTTGGGAAATAGCATATTTCGTAATATGTTCTATGAATTCCAACAGAACACAATTAAATGGTCTTTTTTAAACATTTTTATCGTCTTCAATATTGACGCTCATATGTTTGGTAAAATAAAGCATTCATTTATCAGAATTGATTAACTCAAATTGAATAAAAAAATCTATGCCTCTTCGTTAAAACTGAAAACTATATTCCACATAAAATCAGTGAAATCAAGCCATACCTTTATGACGTCATTATAATGACGACGTCAACAATCTGCTTGCGGCTTTCACCGCTAAAGGGAAGGCAGTATGATTTAAGATGCAAAGATTATAAGATTGTTTCATGTCCAGGGGTGTAGCATAGGCAAATTCCACCCGAGGGGTTTTAAAATTTGGTTTTGCCAAATTTGAAAATGCCGGTATATCAAAATATAAAGGAAAGTATTGAGTATATGATCAAGCTAATTAGAATGTTAACTCTGACACAAATTAAGAAGAATAAAATAATCGGCGAAAAATCCAACCTTCCTGTGTGAATGAGCTGTTTACTTACTGTATAACATGAAATATTTGTTGTGCATAAAAATTCGTGGTTTTCGTGGTTGCTATTGAACCACGAAAATAAATACAACGAATTTGAATGATACACGTGTCTACTGTTTGTTAAAATAGGGTATCCACAAAAGTTTGTACCAAGAAACGATCTAAATAGCTTCAAACCTCAAAGAAAAAAGTCCACGAATATTTCGTGTTATACAGTATAAACATGAAATTAGACCAAATCTGATTTTGTTACATCATTTATTTTGTATAGGTTTCCTTCTGTAGTCGTCACAACGGTGCTAAAGCTACAAATAAAAAAAGGATTATATTCAACTTTGTACATTCTTAATTATACTATTGTCTACTGATAGAAAAAAGGGTATTATCATATACGAATAATATTTGAAAATATATAATATTATATATCGTGATGTTCTGTTTGCGAATCTGATCAGATAAAGCCAGAAAAACGGAAGTCTTCAATAACTTCAGATATGCGTAAATAGTCCATCTGTAATTGATAAAGGTTATTTTAACTTTACTCTATCCTCGATACTCCAGAGGTTACGCTCTCTTTCATTCTATGCATGTCATGACGAAATCATATAGGCTTAGTTCGCACTACCTTGTGGATGATGCACAAGTCGACTGGTTTTACCCTTTTATGTACATAAAAAGAATCGCGCGAAAGCATAGCGTTCAAATCTTCAAAGGACATGACTCAGTATAGTGATAGGTCATTTTTGTACCTGATATCTATTAACTAGCCTTAGCGCATTCCTTCGATTGTTTCCTGACATATTCCAGGAGTGCAGAGATCTGAAGAACTCCGAGAATGATTACGTGTATAGTAAAACAAACGTGTTTTTCTAGTGAAATTTTCACATAATGTCTTCATACAAGTTAGATTGTTATTACTCTTTCCATTCGAATTAATCTTTGGACGCGTTTTCCATATAGAGTTCCCACAGCGAGAACCACAAACTGTATCACGTAACCTTGGTTACGATAGGGATTGGATAATATACAGACACGATGGCAGTATGATGCTATTCATCTCGATAGACCGTGACATTCTTTTGTTGTACATCAAAGGTTCAAACAGGTCTTCTTGTCTCATCCACAAAGTTGCGCACTCTAATCTTTCAATTTTGCTATGACATATTCCAGGTATCAGTGAGCAAAAGTGAGCGTAACCTCTGGAGTATCGAGGTTTTGCTATTTGCCCTAGCCAGTTCTAAACATGTTCAAACCCACAGAAAGAGGACAATGAAATAGACCTACCTTGAATTATATGTTACCGCATGAACACAGACCATCAACACAATGCCGTCTGTTGGTAGGACAATTCCAGTTGGTAAGGTCAAGACATGTCTGTTTATTGGCACATGCTACAATACAGGTATTACCTCATATTTCATTTTGCATAGAGAACATCTTAGTTTGAGGATATTATGAGTATAACTCACAAACATATGGATCGGTAATACAGATTTTAAAAAGACAGAATTCTTAATTTGAGTTTGTAGGAAAAGTTGGAATCGTTAAAGGCAATTGATTGTAATATTAATGATAACTAATATATATAGATTGTTAATATAAATTTAAAAAACGAAAGTTTGGAATCATTAAAGACAATCGATTGCATTATTATCATTATTAATGATCTAGCACATAATTTTCGATTTGAAGGGCTCAATTCTTCCGTTACAGACTATACTTACTATGATCGCTGTTCAAAACACATGTACAGAGGCCATTGATACATGCCTTAACGTAAGTACTGTCGCAACCGGTGGAGGTGCATCCACTAGTATTTGTACCGGTACATGTCTCCGAATGTACAGACTCTGTAATTGAATCAGAGGTGTTTTAATACAGGAGTAAAACGTTTAACATGCAACCCCGCATTATACTCTATCACTTCATGACCATTTTAAAACTCTATACCGCACCTCAAATGTTTGTACATTGCCTTAGTAAATCCCCATGCTGTATGCTATCATATTTCTTGATGTTATAATGGAATACTTCATGAACATTTTAAAAACACCTTAAATGTTTGTAAGTTTGTGTCAGTCTAAAGCTTTTCTGTGAGTGACAACTGGTATTTTCGCACCTCGGCGAGAGTAGAGTCCCGGTGGACAAGAAACTACTAGATTCTAGCCACGTTAAAATCTATGCGTTTATGGGCCGTAAAAATTGAAAGTACAATTTCAACTTTTATGTTGATATAGATAAGATGTGTCAGCACACTTTAAGGGCAAGTTCATACCGATTTAAAACCCAAGTCGTATTTATTGATAGCAGATTCCTCAATTTACAACGATGATTGCTATCGCAAACCGTTTTTCCGACATGTGAAGAGATGTGCCGGTATAAGCTGTAGTCGCCTAGCATTGTATCGTTCCCACATCGTGCACACACTGCTTGCACACCGTGTACGTAACGTCAGGTGTGCTCATCGTGTAGCTGATACTGCTGATATAACCCCCATATCATGTTGAGGATAAAGTGCTGAGTTAACCACCATATCATGATGAGGACATAGTACTGATATAGCCCCCATATCATGTTGAGGATAAAGTGCTGAGTTAACCCCCATATCATGTTGAGGACATAGTGCTGATATAGCCCCATATCATGTTGATAATATAGTGCTGATATAGCCCCTATATCATGTTGATGAAATAATACTGATATAATCCCAATATCATGTTGAGGATATAGTGCTGATATAGCCCCATATCATGTTGATAATATAGTGCTGATATAACCCCCATATCATGTTGAGGATATAGTACTGATATAATCCCCATATCATGTTGAGGATATAGTGCTGATATAACCCCCATATAATGTTGAGGATATAGTGCTGATATAGCCCCCATATCGTGTTGAGGATATAGTGCTGATATAGCCCCCATATCATGTTGATAATATAGTGCTGATACAACCCCCATAGCATGTTGAGGATATAGTGCTGATATAGCCCCCATATCGTGTTGAGGATATAGTGCTGATATAGCCCCCATATCATGTTGAGGATATAGTGCTGATATAGCCCCCATATCATGTTAATGAAAAAATACTGATATAGCCCCATATAATGTTGAGGATATAGTGCTGATATAGCCCCCATATCATGTTGAGGATATAGTGCTGATATAACCCCCATATCATGTTGAGGATATAGTGCTGATATAGCCCCATATCATGTTGAGGATATAGTGCTGATATAGCCCCATATCATGTTGAGGATATAGTGCTGATATAGCCCCATATCATGTTGAGGATATAGTGCTGATATAGCCCCATATCATGTTGAGGATATAGTGCTGATATAGCCCCATATCATGTTGAGGATATAGTGCTGATATAGCCCCATATCATGTTGAGGATATAGTGCTGATATAGCCCCATATCATGTTGAGGATATAGTGCTGATATAGCCCCATATCATGTTGAGGATATAATGCTGATATAGCCCCATATCATGTTGAGGATATAATGCTGATATAGCCCCATATCATGTTGAGGATATAATGCTGATATATACTGTTGTGGGGCTATATCAGTTCAAGATCATCTGTCTCAAGGTCAGGTCTACGTTTAATATTATGTTTAGTATAAATCAGAACTTTGCCACCATAATTATCTCTATCCTCTCTTAAAATATTACCAAAGTTTTCCAAAGATACAGCACAATCAGGAATTGAATTATCAAAATGAGTTTCAGAGACGCACAGGATATCGTATTCGGAGAACTCAGCATCAAAAATCTGATATGACAAATAGAAATAAAATCTAGGTGGATGTGGGGGTTGGGTGGACCGGGGTTCGGGTGAATATCACCGCATATGGATAATATATATAAAATAATAAAAATGTAGTGCAAATTCAGAGAGAATAGATTCAGAGAGACACTAGCGATACATAAACATTTATAAAGTAACGAGTCATTCCCTGCCGTTACAGCACCAAGATAGTTTGTTGTTGTATCCATTGTCAAAAAGGAAACGCATATGTAGAAAATACATCCTGGTAGAGTAAGAGCAGAGAATGACACAGATAGTTTTAGGGAAAATACACGGAATATAACAATATTTAAGTTTTGAAAACAAGATTGACATGTATAAGTGTTTATATTCTGAAAACACAATTTGCCTTGGTGAAGTAAACACATTGACAAATGAGAACAAAAAACAATATAAAAATAGATGATAAACATAAACATTATTTACATTAACCTTTAGGATCCATATAAAAAATGTCTGTGATACAAAAATGAAATGTAAGAAAAAAACAGTTACATAAATATCGAGTGACCCGCCTCACTGACCCCATACCGTTTGCTGATTACACGATAGAGCTGGCGACCTCGCTATATACAATAGACCTGACGTTACCTGTTGAGAGTAGAACAATCCTACATAACATCGCATGCATTTTCACGAACTCAGGGGTCAGTGACACGAATCAGCCTGTATCCTTCCAATTTACGCGTTTGATCGGATGGTACAGATTACTAATATTACGAATTAAGTGGGAAGCTACCGATCATTAAATTATACATTTTCTGTAATGAATTATTATGATACATTTTATTAACTAGTTCATATGACAATATGACACCAGAAATTAAGACTGTAATAATGTTGTTAGGAACAATTTATAATAAGTGTGTATATAAATAATCCCAATATCATGTTGAGGGTATAATGTATATATATATATAGTCCCCATATCATGTTGCGGGTATAGTGTATAATTAGTATGTGTATAATCCCCATACTAGGATATAGTGCTTATAACCCCTAACCGGATTTATCATCAGACTTCCATACCTAAAGGCCTTTATCAAGCCAGAGCTATAATATTGATCTATATTTTGTATAACCCTTATATGTATTGTTTTGTTGTTTTCTTGATCTTCCATCTTTGTGTATAAATTGTTCGTGTTTATAGATCTGCTTGTATATGATCTTTTGTTAGAATATTTATTTGTATGTATGTTTATTTGTAAAACATTTGTTTATCTGTTTGCGTACGTGTTTGTTACAATCCCAAAAAGAAAGAAAACGTTTAATTATTTACCAATATCAACGAGCATATGGTGCGTAATTATGTAATCTCATGTACGAATGAAATGTAACATTTTGCATTTTCTCAACACATTAGTAATATTTTATATGATATGGCAATAACCAATGATTAAGGAACGGTTCAAATGATGTATAAAATAAAGTGTATGAATTAAAAGAAGAGAATATAAATATNGTTCTTATATTCAGAACTTTGTGGTTGATTATATCATTTCTCATAGAAGTCTCGCAAGGTATGGTTTTCTTTTCAGAAATGATTTATCAAAGCTATAGTCATAGTGACAGTTTTTGGCAGTGACACGGGGATCCTTAAACGTCCGTAAATCATGTGGAATATAATAAAACATTATGTATATAATCGGGAAATAATAGTTATTATATTGACATGGTTCCTTAAACTTTGAATTGACGAATGAATACAAGATTGAGTCAAAACAAAATGCATAGCTTACCAAACAGAGCTGCCAAGGCGAGGAAACAAACAACTAGTAGTACCTTCATTTTGAATCGTCAAGCGCAGATAAAAGCGGTGTGAAGTTGAACATCTATTTATTGTTACTTATTGAAGGTTATCTAAAGGGCTGGCCTGGCTGATTACATGTCTATTTTATGACATCAGTGACTGTAATCGTGACTTGTGTTCCCGATCATCATAATCTTATCTTTATGGAATATAGACCACTGTCGAAAATTGTAACTACGCATGGGAAACTGGCACGGTAGTGTAGCAGTAGGACGCCGGGCTCGTGAACGAAGGGTTGCGGGGTCGAGTCACGTCACGGCACTGCGTTGTATCTTTGAGCAAGATACTTCACTCCGCCTGTTCCCTTCTCAGGGGCGTTTCTAGGACTTTTTTGTTGCTAAAAAACATAAAATAATTGTGAAATGCACTAATGTAACAATTGTAGCAATTTCTCTGTTTAATAAATCATTAGGGCATTGCTTTCCTATTACTAATTAATTCTGATTGACTTTTTAATATGAGCATTGTATATCTAAAAATATCAATTAAATATTTATATGTATTTGAAACATACACGGAATTATCTTCCCTATACCGTCTGCTATATATATATATATATATATGTTTATGCTACTTATTATATATGATTTGCATCAATATTTTTTTACAAACCATTTCAATCATCTTTGTCTTTGTCATGTCAATCTAAGTAGAGAACTTATATAGGCCTAGCCTGCTGTTCAATCCTATTGTTTACTCAATAAAATATGATGAAATGAAAATCTAACGGTTCCTGACTTGGAGCATGTATATTTTATAGTTAAAGTGTCAGAGTTTGACATTTTAATGTCGAATTCTCTCCATTAAGTGTCTATGGTATATTAAAATGATTGGATGGATCTTAACAGCAGTAGACCAATAACGAGAAAATCCAAATTCTAGGGTATAAGGCGTTACTTAACATTTCAATAGTCCTAGGCCAGGATTTTATGAACGGGAGGCGTAATTACGGTTGCCCTGGTAGAGGGTCCATGGGGAAGCTCAGAAGCTCTTGGATTTCAACAATTTAGCATCATGTTATGAAGTAGCCAGACTGATAAATATCTCCCTATTTTATATTAAGTTCTGGTTTCGTTGAACGACACACATGATACAAGACAAACAAACACTGAAGTATAAAGTTCTTTCATTCTAAATATTGTAGGCTTTAATGTGGAATACATGATTGAATATGATAAATTGCCATATTCAATACAATAATAGCAGATTACGATAGTTTTGGGTTTTTTTGAAAGGGGGGGGGGGGGGGGGGGGGCGTACGCCCATTACGCCCTCACCTAGACCCGCCCCTGATTCTACTCAGCTGTAAATGAGAGTACGTGGACAGTGCTAGCATTGTTGAATGCTAGCTGTGAGCGCCGAATTGGCAGCAACGGCTGTATGCTCCCCAGTGCGTTTGACTGGTTGCAAAGGCCCTATAACCACGGATAAATAATAATTTGCGAACTGCTTCTTTATACGACCTACGAACTAGGTTGTGATAAAGCGGTATATAAGAACCTCGAATTAATATGTTCATGACTATGGCTTTGACTTATCATTTCTGAAAAGAAAAGCATACATTATGGGACTTTCGTAAAGGAAATGATAAAGACGAAATAAAATCAATATCATCAAGAAACGTGAAAATTCAGCTGGGCTTGACCGGGATTCGAACCCTGGACTACAGATTGTACTACTGAAGGTTTAACCTGATGAGCTCCCTGGTCAATGGGTGACCAATCGGGAACCGTTTGCACTTTCCGTAATCGAGAAATACAGTTATATCCAGAATGGATTAAGTGTATGCTACTGTATATACGAACAGGAGGCCAAGAGGGCCTGTATCGCTCACCTGGATATTCATGCCCAGCAATGCTATCAGTTCAGGACCTCAACCATTTCAAAGATATTGACAAGAAATCAAGTCACTGGGGCAAGGGGTTGGGCTGGATACCATAAACATTTTGTTAAGGTTCACCATTCGTGTATCGTTACGGTTCATCGTTAGTGTGTTGTTAAGGTTCACCATCAGTGTGTTGTTTAGGTTCACCATCAGTGTATTGTTAAGGTTGACCATCAGTGTGTTGTTAAGGTTCACCATTAGTGTGTTGTTAAGGTTGACCATTAGTGTATTGTTAAGGTTGACCATTAGTGTATTGTTAAGGTTGACCATTAGT